TTGACATTTTCACCCTTAATTATATATTTAATTGTGCAAACTATTGTGAAATAATTAATATACCCTTCTATTTAAATAAAAAAAACATTTGACAACTAATGGGAAGAATCTAATTGATCTCAATAACAATTCTGAAAATATTCTTCTAAGAACCCTTGTTATAAATGATCTATCAAAAATTAGATTAGGATTAAAATCAGAGTCCACTCTAATACGAGCATTGAACCACGTTTGTGATCTAAAGTGCAAAGTCACGTTTGATAATGTAGATTGAATGACAGCCCACAAATTTAGAATGTCCAAATTGATCGAGACAGGGAATTTTAGGGAAGTCGAGGGTAGTACAAGAAAAGACAAGGATGGCTCAATCGTAAGCTTTCAAGGTGCCCCCTTCCGTTCGTCACCCGCAAACTCAAGAAACTATTTTTCTTGAAATTATTCTTATTTTATTGATCGTAAGTCATTAATATTAATTGAGTGTCATTCAGAAAATGGACAATGCTGAAACTAGTTCTTCACGCTTACTATCCATGTGGACCGGCCACTTTCATTCTTTAGAAAATAAAAAAGGTTGGCTTCGGGCCGTGGTAGGCTACCTAAAATGAGCTATGCTACATGTACAAAGTTGGGTTATAAAGTTGGTCGACAAAATAACATCTATACCAATCATTTTAAAAATAGATTTTTAAATCATTTGAAATCAACGGTCTCGCTTTTGTCTAAATCTACACCAATCATTTTAAAAACAGATTTTTAAATCATTTGAAATCAACGGTCTCGATTTTGTCAACACACTTTGTAATCCAACTTTTGTAACTTAATTTTGTACAAATAGTTTCATTGACCTAAAAAACAACCATGCACAATGATCAATCATTTATCATCTCGACTATAGTGTTAAGATTGAATGTTCCATCTTAAAAGGTCAACCATATTAAGCGAAGTAACATAATCTTTTATAAGTTGGTCTGTATTTTCATCTTTATACGATGTGTGATTTTATCCCTTAACATGCCTCCTCAAGATAGTGGCTCGTTTGAGCAAATCAATCTTGAAATTCGTGTGCTTATTTTTTTGAATCTTAATCGAATCGAACTGCTTGTCGGAGCTTAACCTGGCTCTGATACCATGTTAAGATTTGAAATTCTATTTTAAAAAGTCAATTTTATTAAGAGAAGTAGCCCAATCTTTTATAAGTAGGTCTATGTTTTCATTTTTATTCGACGTGTAATTTTATCCCTTAACATATAGTGAATATAATATAGATGAGAAAAAAGAAATTTTCGAAACCTTCATTTACAATTTAACAATCCTGAGAAGAAACAAGATTACAAAGAAACTTGGAATGAATTACAACTATAACAACGAATGTGCAGCTACAACACCCGATTATATTGGGTTGCATTGCTATCACTTAGCGTACCTAATCAATTAAAATCATACATAGAAGTCGTTTAACTTGAAAAGTAATATCAAACTGAGATACAACAAGAATGGAAGATTAGTATCAGACAATTTTGTTGATACTACTGCTTGCTTTCTTCTTTCTCGTCTGGTGTTGGCTGTGGCACTGCAGGGCTTGGATTCATCAGTGACTCGAATTTTTTAGTCTTCCCCAGCACAATTTCAATCTACATACAAATGCAAGTCTGTAAAGTTCTTCCACTATTTCTTGTCAAAAACTAATTGACAGAGAGAAAACACTCACCCTGGCTTTCTGAACTTGACGGTTCTTAGTTTCGTCTTTTGTCCCAATTGTGGATGTCAAAATACCTGCTCGAAAACCACGATAAGTAGTGTTAGATTTACATGTGGTACTCACTTTGAATGCTGGTATGCACTATGCAGTGCTCAACATTACATAGACGAGATTTTGCTTCTTGAGAAATAAGCCATAAGATTGATGGGATAAGTTACTCACTCTTCTCAATTGCAAATCCATTATTCTTCAGAATCTCAGCAATTGTGACAACTGTAGCGATTGCTGTAAAAATATTGGCAAAACAATGTCATCAAGATTAATACATCCATGTACAAAAAGGGTGAAACATTGGAGGCATGCAAACTTTCTTTTTCAAGAAATGTATAATTTTTCTAAAATAATATCTACACATCTTCAATAGACAAGGTTTTGATTGGCTTTTATTCATATTCCTTTCAGAGCCTGATACAAAAATGGTTTGTTTGGTGATATGAACCGTACAATATTGATTATTGAGTGAGAAATAAGCCATAAGAGCTTGTTTGACAATCATTATTGCAGAAAAAAGAAGTTTTGAATAGTGATTTTTAAGGAAAATGTGTGATTAAAAAGTAGGAAAAAGTTTTTGGTATACGTGTAAAATATTTTATTGTGTGAATATGTTGTTTAAATGATCATATAGCAAATCATAAAATAAATTAATAGAACTAAATCTTAAGCTTAACACTCTCGAAAAATGGAGTCGTTACTTGTTACCTGGATTTTTTTTGTTTTAAAAGAATGGTAGAAAATATAAATAAAAGGAGAGAGAAGATTTAATATTTTTATACCCATGCCCAATGCTGAGAGCTCGACCTCCTTATGTTGCTGTAGGTACTTCTGCATAAAAAAAGAAAGAAAAAAAAAAAGAAGACAAATTTCCATGATTCCATTAAAGAACAAGGAAAATATACATAAGCTAAAAGCACATTTGGCCGTGTTTAGAAGTTAAAAGTACATTGTTCTTAGAACCAAAAAGTACACTTTAAACACGACTAAACACGTTGAAGATCGATATACTATATATACACACATATATATTGAGAGAGAGAGGTGTAACCTTGGCAAGGTTGACATAGAAGAAGAGAGGTTTCTTGGTGTTCGACACCTGAATTCTATTTTTCTTGAGATTTTCGGAGGCTTCTTGATTAACTAGAGCTGTTTCCATTGTCATTTTTTTTTCTCCTTTCTCAAGTTTCTTGCTATATCTATCAGAAGAGACACTTTCTCTCTTTGTTCATATGTGTTTCTCTCTTTCTTTTTTTTCTTCAATTTGGTTACAATCTATAGAGGCCTCTAAAAGCCTGTATAACCGGTAAAACAGTAATCTACTCACAACCCGACATTAAAGCAGTGGCTATGCATATTTGTGTCTGCTGCTTCTGGTTTAGATTTGTGCGGACAGACATTGCTTTCCTTAATCTTCTCAAAATGCATAGTTCATAATCCAAAGAATATCCTCCTCCCGAATTCTGGGTCTTTAGTTATTGTTGATAAGAAAGAATCTCTCAAAGAATTAGATGTTAATAATTAGAATAATGTTAATCATAGTTAGCAATTGTCAGTAGTCATAATATATCGATGTCTCTAGTAAACCAAAGTCATCATTTAATAGCTATTTTGCTTCAATTTTTTTCTCTACAAATAAAAAATGGAAGATTTAGTTATGATTAGAAATCGACTTTCTATCTTCAGCCATGGATCCTTTACTCATACTTGTTCAATTGAAAGTCTTGATCCAATTCAAAAATTATGTTTCGCGATT